ATTGCTTCCGGTGCCTTCCCGTGATCCGGTAGCGTTCAATTCCAACGAAACGTTGAGCGTACGCCGGTCGTGTGTAATGGTCTCTTTGTGCACGTCGTATCCTTCATATCGATAAAGAAACACCTTTATTGGCTCAATGATGTTGGAATGGGGCAATGATTTTTGAGCAATATGAGAGAAATCAGGTAGCCCCATCCGGGACACCGAAAATGCACGAGACCTATAAAAGCAGACCTAATTGATGCAAAACAGCATCTCAGACTCTTCCCCTTCCGTTTCCTCACCGACTCTTCGAAAGACTCTTGTACTGGAATTTTTGTGTTCCATCGCTCCACTCAGCTATCTTGCTATGCCACAGAGACTTCGTTTGCTCTCTCTATCACTCGGTGTAGAGCGCTAGAGCCTCTGTTCATAGCCAAAATAGTTGTTGGAGCGTTGCCATTTCCACTATTTTCTAGTAAATGAGTTTGACGCTACTTTTTACCCTCTACCACTCCCTTCGAAGCATTTTGTTAATTCAATCATTGATGCTCAGTAAGCCACCGTCTGCTCAATTTTGTTCATCAGGCTAGTACTTTATTTAGCACAGGAAGTTCTGGCGCAGACTTGAACGAGGCGGCATTTATCTATGGCCCACTGGTACTACCGCTCCAGACCTTAAAACCTCATTTCGATTGCGTACCTATCACTTTTTCTCAAGATTAGGCTAATGGAAAAGAAAGTCCTTGCTGATCTTTCCATTCGACTCTCAAGCGCTCTTGCTCGGACCGGGTTGAATATGAGTATCAAATACTAAGGCTGTAGAATGATTTAATAATAGGTTTATGAGGGTCGTTCCACCAAAAGAGGATTGTATCTTGTAGATTATTTTTCAGAAATCTCGCTTGTGAGAGCTCAGAGGAACCGAATGAATTCGGATTCTACCCATAGTATTAATTATCTACATGTCCCAAATTTCTGGATACATTATTTGTATTTAGTTGTAGGCATGGAATGAATAGGAGCAAGTTCCGAGATAAGATGTGGCAAATGAATGGATGAGAAGCTTCTAGCAATTCTGACCGTGAATCTGTCAATGTTCCTCTGCTCCAACGCTCTGTCTTTTCCTCCATATCCGAGTCTCGAGAGCTTACAATGTCATGGCAGTGTTGTCAATAGCAGCACTAAAAGCTCCATATTATTCTTTGTATCACTCTGGCGTATCACTTACTCTGTTCCAATCTCTGCAATCATTCTGCTCTGCTCTACATTGGAGTGTCCAACCCTAACAATAAGCGAACTTCACTCCAGCTTACACTCATCATCAGGGTTGTTATGGTCATGCACTTAAGCCTATAGCCTAAGTAAGTACATGGAAACTATAGATAACTATAAGCAAGTAAGGCTTCTGGAAGATAAGTGAGATGGATATACCTCAGAACGTGAACGAGTTCTGAGGGGAGCCCATCGTTTCTGTAAGTATCGTAAGTAGGCGATCCTCTAGAACACACACACGTGTGAACGACTCGTATTAAAGTCACCTGTAAGACTATCGTAAGTAGGCGATCTAAAGTATCTAGTGAGCAACGATAATATACAGGTGAGGACAAGACAAAACCTACCCTCTAGAACACACACGTGTGGACGACTGAGGGGGGGTGGTCCGTACGTAGAGTGAATATATATAAAATAGATAAGATGGCCCGAAACTCGTCTGAGAAGACCTACCGACGGGTGGAACAATTATCAGGCATAATTTGAAATGATAAGGACTGTAAGTAACTTTTCTTATAATTTGTAACGGTTGGATTCTGACTGAGCTTGGAGCCCGCCATTCCGGAGGTACAGAACTACAGAGCAGGATAAAGGGTAGAAGAACTGACATATGACATATGCCTCACCATGAACATTGTACTTTAGACATCTTCCTCATATTCTTTTACCTTTACTTACAAAAGTGGCATAGTTTCAAGTACACGACCAAGCCTTATGCTCGTCGTGCAGTGCTGTACTCATAAAGACAGTGTTCTACGGGGCAGGGGATCTCCATCAAATCCTCCCTCTCTTGTCTTTACTTACAAATAACAGTCCTATTTACATATCATCGCCTGACTCTCAAGACGCCGACTCAAGCCTCTACAAATTCATGTTTGAGGGGGAGTACGTTGCCTCGACGTCCGATGGAGACTTCTCCCCTAAACCCGGTTATCCTCGACAGTTTCAAGCACAAAAAAATACAAAAATTTAAGAGGAAATTTTCACTAGTCTAAAGACTCGAGATCCACAAAGGACTGTCCATCCACTGTCCACTGGAAGCTCAATGTGATCATGTGTAACAACGTGTCAGACCTAACACTTCAGATGTATAATTAGTTATTCTGCTGATTGTCATTGTCATATCTTTCACCATCTCTTAGAGCCAGACTTTCCGACGTGGACTCCCTTTTACTTCCATAACCTTATTCCTATATCTCTACTACCATTGCAAATACTTCCACAATGTCAGTATTCATTAATCTAGATAGTCTATATAATAATATAGACATCTGTACCACATCTTAAAAGATCAACTCGTATTCAATACCCTTAGCACACTCTCAGTCTCTCTTAAAAACTTGTGACATAATGGTGGTGCTGTCCACAGCAGCACTGAAGTTCCAGTCTTCTGCTGGAATTACTCTGGAATCTCTCGGAGTGTTCCACTCCTAACAAGGACCTTCATTTAATTGAATAGTAATAGGCTAGAAAAACCCCTAAGCCAGGCTGCGTAGAAACATAACAACAAATCCGACCCGGGGGGCAGTGGCTACAATGACAAATGGCGCAGGAATTAGATTCACGGTACGTGCTTTCGTTCATCGCTGCTGCAGTCTATTGGAAATTTGCCGTGTAGCAGTTTCCGTTCTATTCCGAGCTTGACAGTGACACATCTTGCCCATGGATCCGAAATTCTTATCACACTATACCTCATCGATATCATCAAACCCTTTCCCTTCCACGTCTGCTCTTGGAATTTCAAGATCTTAGCTGGAAGACTGAGGTATGTGATTTTATGCGTGAACCAGTACTGACCGTAATGAACTCCAGAGCCCGCAGACTTTGATACTGCTTTGAATATGACAGCCCCAACCGCTGACGCGATTTCTGACAAGTCAAGTTTGAATACCAAACATGTAGTTGTTCTGGGAGCTGGTGCTTCATTTGATATCGTTTCGCATTCAGTATCTCAATCTACCGCTATCTAGGTGTAATCGGTCTGACAACCGCCATTTCGATCCTCGAATCGTCCTCAAAATCCAACTACGTTGTAACGATCCTAGCCTCTCACCTACCTAACGACCCAAAATCCATCGTTTACACCAGTCATTGGGCCGGTGCACATCATGTTTCTCATGCCACAGGGACTGGTGGGTGCCTTTTCAACTACTCGTGCTTGATTTGATACGTTCGTCTCAATAGGAATTTCCGCACCAGACGCCAACTCCTCCACCACCACCACCGAACATCCAGAACAGCTAGCCATCGATCAAGAGACCTTCCGCACGCTGTGGGACCTATCTGCGCAGGGAAGCGACGCAGAGAAATGTTTGATGCGGATTGAACAGGTCGAGTATTATCACGAGGAGATTCCTGTTGATAAGGATAGTGGGCAGGCAAGACACCATCTGAGTTGGTATCCTGATGTAAGTTTGGTCGTCCGACATTCCTTCACTCTAAATTTTCTTATATGTCATAGTTTAAGATCCTCTCATCCGCAACACTCTCTTCCTCTCCTCTCGACCTCCTCGCTCAGGATATCCGCTCCGGCGTGTCGTTCAATACTTTAACCATCGACACGCCTGTATACCTCCGGTATCTTCATCAACGCTTTGTTGACAAAGGTGGTATAGTTCTGAGGGGACGTGTCGATGATATTCGAGATCTCAAGGAATTGCAGCGTCTATTGCATGAACTGCAACCAACCGCCTCGGACGTGCAGATTGACGCTTTGATAAACTGCACCGGTCTCGGCTCGCGCACTCTCTTAGGGGTCGAAGATGACGCTGTATACCCTCTTCGAGGTCAGACCGTCCTTCTCAGGGCACCGTGGATTAAGTTTGGGAGGACAATAAGTTCTAAGGGTAAGGAAGGTAAAGATGATTTGTGGACATATATTATTCCAAGGCGGAGTGGGGATGTGAGTTACGATACCTATATTTTCTTTCTTGCTGTTGTTGCGTTTGCGTCCTCATCCCTTGCACACAGGTAATCGTGGGAGGTATTAAAACACCCAACGACAGCTTCCCTACTCCACGTCCAGAGACAACGATAGACATCTTGAGGAGAAGCTTGAGGCTTTGTCCTGAGCTGCTGCATCCTCAACCAGAAAAATCAGCCGAGATAGGTAGTGGAACTACTCAGCTCTCTATTGATTCTCCTTCCATTCCCAATCTGGATCAGCTCAGTGACTCTGAGTTGCTCAATCTCATCGAACCACTCATGGTCGAAGCCGGATGTGGTCTTCGGCCGGCGAGGAACGGTGGAGTAAGGTTGGATGTTGAGTGGATTGAGTCCACACGACGGATTCCAATCATTCACAACTATGGCCACTCCGGATCTGGATTTCAGAGTTCTTGGGGAAGCGCGACGCGCGCATGGAGGTTATTGGAGGGTGTGTTGTAGAGTCTTTTGGATTGCCGGGTATGCCAAATTGAGCTAGTGATTATCTATCGCTCAAGGTGACCATGTATCTCAGACACCTCATTGAGATAAGAGATTCATCTCGAACAGGGTATAAGTGTTTAAATATAAGTAAGTGTTCGCCTAAGCTTAGCCCTATCTATACCTAGAAGCATGCTGCCAGCTATGAACGAATATGTACAAGCTTGGAACCCGTGCCCACTTCACGGAGCTTGCTTTGCTTGCACAACTCTTCTGCCTTGGTGCTTTATACTGTGACATGACTTAATATCTAAGTGGCTTTAAATGTGAACATTATTAACAAGGTGTTAGGTCAATTAACTAACATAACACTATCTGTAGGGCACATGGTGTAGTTGGTTATCACATCCGCTTAGCAATTAGTAATCCGAATCATTGGCGGTTCACGCTAATGATTCGGATTACCAATTCGTAAACAATGCGGGGGGTGCTGGGTTCAATTCCCAGTGTGTCCAATTTTTTGACTTTTAGTTACACTTTATTTATAATTATCATTGTCCAACCAACTCTTCTTACTCATAACATCGACACTTGATAACGATCTGTCGTGATAGGTCCAGTAGCTCTTCCACACTTTTTGCTGTATAATCTGTTGGTAAGTTCTTACTGAGCTTGACTTTTCATTTACTACTACTACTACCTACTACTCAGTGATATCAATATTTTCATTTTTCCTTTCGAGTTCTCTGTTGGCCCTGAAGTATTGTGGTATAACAGTAAAGACAGACAAGACAGTACAGTATGACAGTCATGTACTTTTTCAAGCTATAACGGTAAGAAATAAATAAATAAGTAGATAAAAACCGGCATAGTCCCTCGAAGTCCGACCAAATCCGACGTCGACAGACTTTGAATATTATTCGTTGCAATATTCTGGACTTGACTCGAAGTATTCGAAGCAATGGGGGTGCTGGAGGCTCTCGGGACACTCGAAGAACTCGTGGTCGAAAGTCACGGAGAGTTAGTATTTATAGCGCTGACCATCACATCCAGCGCAGCCATTTGGCCCCAAGAAGTGAACTCCTGTGGGGGTCCTGGCCACGAAGGAGAGTAGGATGTTCCGTCTGCTGCGAGTTCCAAGAGAGCGTTGTACTGGTTGAGAAGATGACACGTCCGTTAGTTATCAAACGTTCATTTTTCAAGGTTAGATGTAACATACCTGAACGTCGACATAGCTGTGGATGAGAATTTGAAGGTCGCTATTGTCAGAGCTGCGTACGCTGACTTCGTCAAGGCCTCGGATAAAGATAGCTGGATAAAGAGAAAATATCATAAAACTTCACTTCTGACGAATATCACTCAAAGGCGTACCTTTGAACCCAACACCGTCGTTGTCAGAGGCCGTACTGGCTCCTTCAGTAATGATACCGTCACTTCCTTGCCAAACAGGAGACTTGACGGCGGCGGCAGTGATGTTTGTCATTCTGTAACACAACGAATGGGGTTAAGTAGAAAAAATAGGAATGGAACAAAATAGAGCAACGAGAGACAAACTCACAACGACTTCCAAATAGCAGCTCCCGTGACATCCTTCAAGACACTCAATCCCTCAAGGTACTTGCCGGAGTTGTACGTGAACAGCCAAGACGCAGCCGTCCTCGTGCAATCTTCGCCGCTCACACCATCGAGGATGATTCCGTTTTCGTTGATTTGGAGATTCTGAATCCACTGAGCACTGAGAATCGCTGCATTTGTGTATGTCGCGTTGCTAGTAGTTTCGGCAAGGTATGCGGAGAGTCTAAGGGTTGAGAACGGTTAGGCATGAAGGCAGGGCCTTGTTTGGAAACTTGAACGCACGTGGTGTATAATCTGTGATTTGGACAATCAGCTCAACTTTTTGAGAACCAAATACTAATAGTGGTCACCTACCCAGTCGTGATTGAGTTGATGCCTGTGTCATCGCTAGTTGGACGCTACATGTTCACTACAGTCAGCAGGATCTGAACGCCATGACCTCAACAATAACGAACCCAGAAGACTCCTCCTGCCATAGTTTCTGCGACGAAGATGATTCAATCAACGATTTCTCCAAAAACAAAGTCCTGCACGCGCTTACCTCCGTAGCAAGTTGAAACTATCGTGAAATCCTTATTCGGTTGTGTATTAGATTGAGCATCCGCTGCAGTGACGACGCTTCAAATGATTCGTTGATAACTGCTAATCAACGAACAAGATCTTCATGAGTAGTACTCACTAGTTCGAAACATGATTCCAAGTGGTAACAGCCATTGATAACATGCTTGAGTCCTATTTGGCCACTCAGTAAGATCTATGTTGAAAAGTGCTGATGGGTTTGCAATCTTACCCCGTATGCCCTGTAGGCGTAGTACGCAGCGGTGGCCCACCACCTGAACATCCATTGATAATCAGTTCATACACATATCGAGCGTGAAAGGGATATTGCACGTACATCGCATCGTCGTTGTACTATGACCGTACCGACGTTAGTCTAAGTAGTAACAGACGTGACATATCATGTCTTGCAACTCACCCTAGATCAGAACAATGAGAGAATCCAGAAAGCGAGACAGAAATGGACATACAAATACGGATCAAAATCTGGGTACAGTTTGAAAGCTGTAGTAAGTCCGTCGATGACTTGGTCTTTGTACATTGTGGAACTCGCCAGATGGTCGAAATTTGCCATCGCTGAGAATACATTTGCTGATTGCCAGTAGCCAATACCTATTATGTCGTCGTCAAAATTGAGATGAATTGTCGTCCGAAAGAGCAATAGCCGAAACGATGACAATTCTTACCATTGAATTGGGCAGTAGATGTATCCAGTTGGGGAAGGATAGCGGTAATCGCGGACTGTGCAATCGATATTCGTTCCGCGAGAAGGCGGGAGTTGTTAAATTCCTACACAAAAGATACAAAGAAAGAAGATAAGCTATGACAAGCAAGAGTGCGAAAGGAGGAATCTGATTCACCCTCCATGTAGTAGGAACCCCCAAATCCTGAGCGAACACCAAACTCGGGAGAAGAGCAACGAAGAGAGTTAAATGGACCATGAACGCAGGTGTACGGCAGCGCTAGTAGGGACTGGGTAGGGTAAGAGTTGAGAATAGAAGAGAAGAACACGAAAGAAGGTAAAGACACGAATAGGGAGGAAGGACGAAGACCGACGTTTTAAACATTTTCGATTCAAAACTCCCCTTACCGTGTTATATATCGGATCACCTGAATCTAGGGAAAACAATTTCATCAAAATGCCGTATGAATTGAAATATGATGTCGATGAAACGTTGAGGGACTGCTTGCGTTTTCATGGTCTCCGAAAGGTTGGGCTATGCTAGGGCATGTTGAAACATTGACACACGCATGGAATGCGTCTTTTGAAAACATGTAGAGATTTTCGGGAGGTTCACTGGACACAGGATCTCAGGGGAGAGAAAGCAACCAAGAAATATTTGTGATTCAAATTTACCAGTGATATTTGGGACATTCGTAGCAGGCGACCACCGACGGGCATTGGTTGGTATCAAGAATCATGTTGTCCTACCGACGGATGGGTGTATATTGCGAGTCTGTAAGCTGACGAGGCTTGACGGACCTGGGAGGGACGATACATATTACTAGGAAGAGTTCAGTGGGGCTGCTAGGTCTCGGCTCCAGACTTTTACACGGCAGGAAATATATAGAATAAATACAGAGCAAACATAGGAACAAACAAAAAGCCAAACAAAAGGATGTGTCCCTCGAACTGTTCTTTTATTCGAATGTTTACAGTGAAACTATATCCATCGCGGTATTGTAAAACGGCCCGCGTCATATACAACTAGGTACTAGTGACAACGCCCGACATTCAACCCCCAAAGTACTCAATGGCGGCTGACATAGGCGTAAAGAGTTTGTTGAAGGTGTCCCAGAAAACTTGGGCGCAGAAAATTTCAGTCGCTCGAGAAGGACAGCGGCCTACAAGTTGGACTGAAAAACTTCAGACTTCTCCATGGAAAATTTGAGCTCAGAGACGAATTACATTGAGCATGGAGGGATTATATCAATAGAGTCGCTCTAGGTATAAAGTCTATGTTTATTGTATGTAAAAATCTTATTTTCGAGAATCAGACCAGGTATGATAGTTTCACATTCGAGGGTCATTTTTCATGGTAGACAATATCTCAAGTTGTCTTGCCCACACCATCTCTCCAAGCACTGCCAAACGTGACAAATAATCACTCCTGCCTTCCTTCAGCTCATGAGTGTAGATGATAAAGTCAAGATCTTCTTCTCTCAGCCCAGACCTCTCTCTCGTTGCTGGTCCGGGTGACTTCTCACTGTCATCTGCAATTTCCCCAATTTAGGCCAACTCCATCTTTTCACTGTCGACCGCTGAAGCAGATTCCAACAGAAGTCTCGACGGCACTGATCTCATCAACAATCGCCACCAAAGCTCCTCAATAATTTGTGACCATGCGGACCACCTCCAACATCCTGGGCTATAGCATAGAAGCATCCAGGGTCCTCTGAATCGCCGACCATGTCTCGGGGTTTAAGTGCGACAACGGTCAAGGAGAGGGTGTCGAGCAGGTACAGGATTTTGGCTGTGACAACACTTTCGGGGTGCCTGAGACGAACCACCAAGGTTCCGCCTCTAATTCGAATGAGTGATTGAAATGCGAGGAGTAGTTTTGAGATTAGGAGGAGGAGGGATAATTATCAAGGACAACGAGATTGAACTTCTGCGATGAGGTTCCTGCTGTGATGTGCCTATTGTTCGAGATTTGTTTGAGCCCAAACAGCAGCTCTTTTGGTGGCTTTTCAAGGTCTAACCCGTTCAAATCCGTGTTGTACGCCGCACATATGAAAGTATCGCCAGGACCTGAGTTTCCAAGTTCGTTGTTGAACACAGAATGACTCAGATTGGAGCTAAACTCGGAACTCGTATGGGAGAGGCCTTGACAATACTTTTGAGCTGGAAGACGAAGATCCAGCCGGGTCATATCCAGGAAATGAAGCTGGAATCTGGAGCTGAAGGCGGAATAATGGGTTTGATGGCGTGTGTAGTATGTTTGAAGTTCAGATGTTACCGTCGCGGCATTATGTGTTTTGTTCGTGTCCTCAACATTCAACAATGAATAAGTTGGCGGAACCGGGCATATTCCAACCCCAGTCACATATTGGTTCCTTCTCAAAAGGAAAGAAGCAAAGCCTCCAAGGCGACATCTAGTTGCGCCAGAGTAGGAAAATTAGAATCGTTGGAAAGGACATGGGAGAATGAATAGAGGATTTCCTGCTCAGAGGATCAACTTACCCTACATCAAGGAAATGATATCCCGCATCATCGTGACGAGGTCTAGGAAACAACCTCGAGAACCGATTCACGATTTCTTCAAATACGCACTGTTGAGAGAGTCTGGGGTCAAGAAGGGACTCGCGAGCTCGTCCATTTCGGTAAATGCTAGCTTGCGACGACTCGCTTGAGTCAAATTTTGCTTCCAAAACCGAGCTA